ACCCAGGAAGTTAGGGTGGGTCAGTTGGTGGCAGCACCTGCTCTTGGTGGGCTGTACACAGGCCTTGCTGCAGGGAGGGCCCAGACTCCATTTGGCACGTGGTCACTGCCCTGAGAAAGGATGGGTCTCTGGCTGCACTGGGAATGTGTGTGGGATGAGAATCCACATCATATTTTTGGGCCTTAGAAGGGGAGCTGGGTCAGTCTCACAGCTGGTGGTGGCAAGTGCACTTTGAAAAGCATAGAAACAGCCGTAAGGCCAGCACCTCTGGGCCCCAGCTCTTCCACGTATGGCTGTGTGACCCAGAGCAACTCCAACCCCTGAGGCCTCTATGTTTGCATCTGTAAAATGAAGATAAAAATTCCTGCCCATCTACTCAGGGTAGTAGTGAGGATCTACAAAGCAATTTATCACCTGCCCAAGCCAGGGAAGTGCAGGGTGTAACTGTTCTCATCACTTCTTTTTTGGAGGTGAGGCCAGGCCCATATGCCTATCCCCCTGCAGCATTCACTCCACTTGCCCTGGGTTCACGTCCTGATGCCGTCAGGTGTACACAGTCCCCTCCCCAGGGACCCCCTAGAGGACAGAGCTTTGTCTTTGTCTTTGTGGCCCTGTAGCGCCTGGGCGCCGCCTGGTGTGGAGCGTGTGCAATCCAGAAGGGAGGAAGGAGGAGGAGGAAGCAGCCTGGGGACCCAGAGCTGCGGTTTGCATCCTGCCTCCATTGGGACACCTGGGAGTGGAGCTAGTGCAAGTCTCAGGGCCTTAGTTTGTCGGTCTGTTCAATGGGGATGATAAGTCCTGGGGCTGTCATGAGGGTTAAAGGAGACACACAATTCCTAGCGCGTGGTGAGTGCTCAGTACACATTTAACTGTTAGTAAAGCATCGGCTTCCCATAAACTACTATTTAACAGAACAACATTAACAACACAGAACTGACTTTCACAGAGCTTCCTTCCTCAGTTTTCTGGGCTTTGCTTGCATCAACACCTCAAGTCCCTTTAACACCCCTGTAGGTAGGTGGCTCAGAGAGGTCCATGAATTTGCCTGTAGTCACACAGCACAGAATGGCAGAGCCAAATTTGACCCCGACCATTGGCCCCACCGCTGCCTCCCAAAGTGAGGTCCTCCTCTTGGGTGAGACTGTCCAAGTGGGCATTGCCCCATGACACAAAATCTGTCACCTGCTGCTTGTTGACACTGAATTCTCCCCAGTTCTCTGTGGGTGGGGACATGGCAAGTGTCTTCGTTTTTCTTTCTCACACAGAACCCGAGGTCTGTCCCTTACTAACAAGGGCAAAGGCAGACTTACTGAAGTCATGCTTCAGGACCCAGGCTTTCTGACTGCGCCATCTCCCAGAAAATGTCTGGGCAGAAGAGGCATTCTGTGGTACCATGGTAACTTCTGGAAGAAAGGGGTTGTGACAGGCAGGAAACGGAGTGCTTTGTGTCGGGAGCAAGGATGAGACTGGGGCGTGGGGGTCTCCCAGCAGAGGGATGAGCGCCTGGTGTGCCACCTCCTTTATCCCCTTCTCCCTGTGAAGGACAAGGGGAGGTCCTAGGCACAGGTCACCTCTGGGTGAGAACAGGTGCTTGCAAGATGGGAAAATGCAGTAGGTGAAATCAACCTGGTCCTTTGGCCTCTGTCCCTGAAAATGTCTTCATCGACACTGGCACCTTTCTGGAGGGGGCTTGGGAGAGCCCAGGAAAGAGGAGAGAAGGGCAAGGCTTTGCCCTCTGTCTTAGCTCAAACTGGCATAACAAAGTACCACAGACTGGGGTCCTAAACAACAGACATTTATCTCCTCACAGTTCTGGAGGCTGGAAGTGGGAGATCAGGGCGCCAGCATAGTCGGCTTCTGGTGCAGGCCCTCTTCCTGGCATGCCGACTGCCACTTCTCGTCATATGCTCACATGGCAGGGAGAGACAGACCGCTCTGGTGTCTCTTCTTTTAAGGGCACGATTGTTATTATGGCGACCCCACCCTCATGACCTCAGCTGAGCCTAATTGCCTCCCGAAGGCCCTGCCTCCGAATATTATCACATTGGGGGTTAAGGGCTTTAACCTACGAATTTTGGGGGGATACAAAATGTCCATAGCACACTCCCTGGTGAAAGTGAAGTGGTGAGTGAGGCGGTGGGGTGAAGCCATCTGGTGCCACTGGGAAGTATGGCCCTCAGACTGATCCCAGGTGGGCTGTGAGGGTGGGGTGGGCCTGTGGGTATAGGTGGTCAGTGGATTGAAGGAGCTGCCCAGAGTAGGGTGTCTAAATCAAGATGAAGGGAGGATGCACTAAGCCCTGAGAGTGCTAGCCTGCCCTTACCCTGGGGAGGCGGGAGGGCCATGCCTGGGCTGGAGCATGCCAGGAGGGGGCAGAGGAGGGGCTGGCTGCTGTCCAGTGCCCTTCCCATTCCCCACCATGACTTCTAACCTCTGGCCTCACAGGGCTTGTGAGCATTGTCCACTTCTGAGGCTTTTGTCAGGCCAGGGGCCCTGTTTGTTGAGTGCCCACTAGGTCCCGGGCACACTGTGGACATCTCAGCAACCCTTTAGGCCAGTGCTATTTCTGCTTTACAGTTCAGAAAACTAAGGTAGAGCCGAGTTCCTACAACTACTAATAGGGGACAGAGTGAGACTTTGAACTTTTCTGCAGTGCCCACTCTGCCCACCACCCCACACACTAGTGTTGCCTCAGACCTCTCCATCCGTTGCCCAGTCCTGGGTGAGAACGTGGAGAACTCTCGGCAGGTGGCTGAGAAGTGGGGTCAGCAGGGCTTCCAGGAAATAGTGGGGCAAGGAGCTCACCCCCTGGTCCTGGAGCCTGCTGAGGGATGGGGGAGGAGAGGGTGGCTCTGGCTCCTGGGTGCAACGGCCCCAGAAGTGACCTCTGTCGCCCCCTGTGGAGGGGAGAGCTGCACCCACTTTGGGGGTGGTCTTGTTCCTATGGGAGGGGGAGGGGAACGGGACATGAGGAAGCTGCATCCCTGCTGTGTTTGCTCCTTGGGGGGCTGTCTCCCTCCCACTGCCCCCTCTGCCTACAGCCCCCTCCTCGTCTGATCCTTCACCACCAGCTCCCTCCCCACCCAGAGGACATGTCCCGTCCACACACTACAGACTGGCCCGGCTCCAGCACAATCTAACTTGGCCCCTTATGACTGTTGAAAAGAAAATGACGTAACTCGACCAGCAACTTGGGTCTCCCTTGGGAGCCTGATAGAAACACAGAACCCCAGGCCCTCTGAGGCTTGCTGGGTCAGATCCCAGGTGACATTTGAGACAGTGACATTTGAGAAGTGCTGCTCTAAACAGTGTGAAGAGCCACATCTGTGGCTGGCAGACCCTACTTGGTGGCCCCAGAGCATGTGAGGGACTCCCTTTGGGACACCTCAGTGGGATTTTAGTCATGAACTCCCAACACAGCACAGAGCTCTGTACTGGGACACTGCCCTGAGCCCAGTTTCCAAGGCTATGGAGGTAGAATTCAAGAACCTGTTGAGTCACTTACTTGGAGAATAGAGCTGCAAATGGGACCAGGAGTGGGACACCTCACACGTCCCACATGTCCTGCCCTGGGCACCAGCCCACCCTGAGGAGGGGCCCCTTGGAAGTAGTTGCTGGAGGCAAGGCCACAGAGAGAGCCCGTGTGGACCACAGGCCTCCCGGCTGACGAGGGCTCCCAGTTTCACAGGAGGGGGTCCCAGGGACAAGCTAAAGCCCGCCCTGGGGGAGGGAATTGTGAACGTGTTCATAGATTGTGTGCTAATGTGCCTCTGCTCTCGGGTCCCAAGGGCTGGATTCGAATCCTGCCTGGCTCCCTCCTCTGAGCACGACCTGGGCAGGAACGTTGGCCTAGTTGAGCCTGGCTTTCCTCCTGAGAGGTGCCACGGGAGGACTGAAGAGGCGAGGCCTGTACTTCCTGCAGTGCCGTGCCGTGCCGTGCCGGGGACAGAGTAAGCTGGCTGGGACTTCACGGTCACTGCTCTCCCAGGTGTGGTTTTGGCAGGGAGCTTTAGGCCAGCACAGCTCCTGCTCAGGTTTCGGTGAGTTCGGTCGTAGAAAGAGTCCTTTTCTCCTTTGGTCATGGTAAGGGCTGGAGGTGGACCCAAGCCTGGGTGCGACCACCAATGAGCACAAGGCCTGTGTCCCTTTTGAGTGATTTCCTCTGCTATCCATATCTTTATAATTCTGAAAAAGCAGAATTGCAGGTCAGCACACCCTGCTGCCGGAACAGGCATGTGCAGAGGCCGCTGGACTGGAAGATAAAGGGTTGGTGGCCACCCCGGCCAGTTCCCATGTGCCTGTCCCTCCAAAGTGCTTGTTCTGCACGGCACTCCTCCCCCCGCACACCCCTACCTTACGTCCACCACAAGGGCTTGCCTGGGGGGCTGCCTTCTGCCACAAAGGCCATGCTAGCATCTCACAGCCCACAGGCAGGTTGGGGCATTGGGGATCTTCTACAGGTTGGGGAACCTTCTAGCTGCCTTGTGAGGGAGACCCACCCCCCAGGAGCATGCCTCTGTGGGAGGGAGTCTCTCGTGCTCCCCACATATCTGCCACGGCTCCCCTTCACAGCGGCACCACCTGACTTACCTAACCTGATTCAATACGTAACTTCTCAAATTAAAAGGAAAAATGTTCGCCCAGATACCACCTGAAACGACCAGTGTTACAAATACAGGTCAGAATTGGGGTGGATGCAAGGTTACCACTCAGTTACTTCCCAGATGGCTTTCTCAAGCAGGATTAGAGAGGGATGAAACTACAGAGACCAAGAGGGAAATCAGGTCCTCTGTGACTAGGGCCAATATAATCATAACCAGACCAGCCAGCACTCATTGAGCTTTGGCTCTGCTCAGATGCCATTCTGAGTCTTTAACATTTTCAACCACCTCACATGGTAGGATTGTTATCCCATTTTCCAGATGAGTATAATGAGGCACAGACAAGTAATTTGCACACGGTCACACAGTTGGCAGAGCTTTCCATCCCTGTTTCCACAGCCACCTCCCCGTGCAAGATCCTCAAGTGCAACTCTGAGTTCTGGAGCGCCACGTCGGGCAGCCACGCCCTGGCCGCGGACGACGCCCCCGAGTTCTGCGCCGCCCTGCGCACCTACGCCCTGTGCACGCGGCGGACCGCCCGCACCTGCCGGGGCGACCTGGCCTACCACTCGGCCGTCCATGGCATAGAGGACCTCATGAGCCAGCACAACTGTTCCAAGGATGGCCCCACCTCACAGCCGCGTCTGCGCACGCTCCCGCCGGCGGGGGACAGCCAGGAGCGCTCGGACAGCCCTGAGATCTGCCACTACGAGAAGAGCTTCCACAAGCACTCGGCCGCCCCCAACTACACGCACTGCGGCCTCTTCGGGGACCCGCACCTCAGGACTTTCACAGACCGCTTCCAGACCTGCAAGGTGCAGGGTGCCTGGCCGCTCATCGACAATAATTACCTGAACGTGCAGGTCACCAACACACCTGTGCTGCCGGGGTCGGCAGCCACGGCCACCAGCAAGGTAAGGGGGTGGGGGACGCTGCAGGGCACAGTCCTGCCCTTTGTCTCTTTGCCCTGCGTGGACACTGAGGGCCAGAGAGGTCCTCGGGTGTCTGGGAATGGGGGAAGATGAAAAAGAGTGGGGACTCAGAGCACCCCCAGGGCCACACTCCTGGCCTCTCTCCTCCCACCAGCCCTGCCCAGGTGCTGTAGCTCCATTTAACTGATCAGGAGCCCAAGGCTCCTGGGGGCACAGTGACCTCCCCACCTGAAATGCATTCAGCTTGGAACACTGAGCTAGGATTTGACTCAGCCTGTGACTCCAGAGCCCACGTGTTCTCACCTGCCACACGAGGCCACTGAGGGCTGCTCCTTTCCTGACCCAAGGAGGCCTCGATGTCTGGTCTGTAGGACTCAAGTCCTGCTCACAAAGCCACAGCCACAGCCAGCCACAGACGCGGCCTGTGGCCCAGGCAGGGGGCACTCTCCTCCAACCCAGATTCTCCCTCCCATGACCTCATATTCACACTCAGCCAGAAGGTGAGACCTCAAGGTCAGGAGTTGGGCTGGTGGGCTGTCAGAGTCCCAGTTGAGGACGCCTCTGCCATCCTCAGTGCCAGCCTCTGTGCGCTCCTGTCCTGCCTGCCAGGGCCCTCTAGGGCTTCTGGGCTGGCAAAGCAGCAGTGGGTCTGTTTTCCTAGGAAGAGCGTGTTGGAAGCAGCGTGTCGGGCAGTGCCAGGCAGGCCCACAAGGGCGTTTCTGTTCCTTCTCCCCTCCACGCCCCAGAGGACAGCAAGATGACCTGGCAGCCAGGAAAATGCTCGATCCTGCCACTTCCCTCTGCTCCGGTGGCCCTTGGCTGCCCCCAGGGTGCCTTCTTCTGTGCTCTCCTGCTGGTAGCAAACAAGCCAGTCTTCACCCCTATGGATGCCCTAACGGGTTCTCAGCACCAGGTCGTGATACCTAATGGGCAGACTTGCAGCCAGCACGCTCTCTGCCCTGTCCCCTCCTGCCCTCTGCAGATTCGGGGGGTGCCCACATCAAGGACACAGCTGCCTTCCCTGCGGCCCCTTCACTTACCCACCATCTCCCTCCCTAGAGCCAAGATAAATGATCGCTGGGAGCCTGAGGCTTCAGCTTCTAAATCCAGTGACAGACATACTGCGGGAGGGGACCCGGCCACCCTGTCCTGGAGGCTCCTGAGGCTGGCAGGGGCACACGGACGTCTGCGGGTATGAGAGGGACTGCTTCTCCTGAGCCAAAGTGGTGTAAGCACCCAGTGTGACAATAGCCAAGCTGCAGACTTGGGAGGAATTGGTGTTTGTGGTCAGGGAAGCTGGGCTGTTGCCCCCATTGGTGGAGTGATGCGGGGGAGCAGGGCCTTCAGCAGCATGCTGTTGGGGCAGCTGGGGCAGCGTGCCGGGGCTTAGCACACCTGGACACCATCCTCAGCTCTCAGCCGAGGCACACTGGGACCTTGAGCACAGCAGTGCTGTCCACAAACCAGATGGATAATCATTCATTCATTCATTCTTGCGTTTCGTTCATTTACTTGACCCACATTTCCCAAATCCCTCTTCCTCATCCAGGCTCGATTCTGGGCACTGTAGACAGCAGGGCTGCCTGAGCAGGGACAGGAGAACCTCCCTTCCTGTCCAGGTGTGGAGGTTTCCAGGAGGATCGGGGACTATGCAGCAGAGCATGACCAGCCCAGCCCCTCTCCGCTGTGACCGAGGGCCACCTTTGATCTCAGCAGGCTGAGAGCTCAGTGGCCCCGTCAGCCAGGCTCTGGTGAGGCCAGACAGTGACAGCATCAATGTCTGTGGTCAAGCCAGTCTCAGAACCCAGGCCAGACTGGGGGCCTCATGGTTCCTGGGTGAGAAACATCGGTGGCTGGTTCCAGGCGCCCTTGGCCTGCCCTGCCTGTTCTTTTAGGCCTGCGTTACTCAGGTGTGTTTTGCTTGCTCGCTCGCTTGTAGATTCAGCAAAACATTTCCCAGATGCTTCTTTTGTGCCTGCTTCTGAGCTAAGTGCTGCCCTCCTCCCGGCAGCTCCCAGGCTCGTGGAGAACAAAGATACAAAGCGGTCTTGGGGTGTCAGGATGCTGAAGAACTTTGGGGGCCCCACTCTGCCCCAAGCACTGGGGACGGCCTTCCTCAGAGCTTACCACAAAGGGTCGGGAAGTCCCCAGAGGGAAGAGACAGGAGGAGTCCACATGGGGGGCCAGCAGAGTGGGGAAAGCAGCCTAGTGCCTCGAGGGACACAAGGGACACCAAGGGGCTTTTACCCCTGGATGATGGGACCTCTGGGCTTTTGTAAACCCCCCCCATCCCCAGCCCTTGGGGCCTGCCAGAGTCTTCTGCCCACTGGAACCCGTTCCCCTTGTACCTCCCTCAGTTGGCTGGACTTCCTCTGCCTACCTGCACCCCTGCCCTCCATGTCCCCTCCCCTGGCTTCCCAGAGCATGTCCCGCTCCTGCCTGGCCCTTGCCCTGACCTTGCAGCCTTGCAGCCAAGAGTGGAAGCTCCGGATGCAAAAGGCCTGGTCCCAAGCACCCAGGCTCGTCCCCTCCCTGAGCCATGGTGCCTTGCTTGGGGCCCTTTGCTCATTCCCTGTGTTCCTGGCATTATCCAGCCTGGCCCAATCCCTGCTCTCACGGGCCATCAAGATCTTGTGTTTTCCAGTCCTCCTGCTCTGTCTCCTTCTTCCCAGCTGTGCTGGTAGCACCCATTTTACAGGCAAAGAAACTGAGTCTCAGGGAGGACGGGAGCTTGGTTCTCGCTGCCTTCTCCCTAGCACTTATGAGTCTGTCACACTGCATCATTCATCCGTTTGGTCTGTGACCCCCAAGAGCACAGGCTCTGGAATTGTTTTGCCTCCCCAGCCCCTGGTGCTGGGCCTGGCACACAATTGGTGCTTCATAAGCAGTTGTTCATGCAGCCCAGCTCTGCCCCATGCCCTGCGCCGTGGAGAAGGCCAAGGGCCCCATTGGCAAGGGGGTGGCAAAGGCAGGCGCGGCAGCCACACCCGTGGCCATGTTGGCGGTGAGCCACCCGGCTTTCGACAGGCCCCCTTCATGCTGTTACTTGTGGTTGAGTCCCTGGCACAGGAGCCAGCCAGAGTCAAGCAGCCTGTCAGCCTTCCAGGAGGCTGTCTCCGCGAGAGGTGGCGGTTAGCGCGAAACCAGCCTTTCCTGTTCCAGGGAGACTGATGGCACTTGGAAAGCAGGACACCCCCTACACACGTGTCCCTCATCCCCCCCCCTCCAGTGGCAGGACCACCCACTGCCTGGACCACCCTGGTTGGCCCACCTCCGGCCCTCCCGCAGGTGGCCTTCACACCACAGAGGGAGGGAGAGGAGAAAGGAGGAGGGGGTCAAGCACATGAAGGTGCCATTTTTGTAGGTCAGGGATGGGAGGGTAGCGGCAGCTGCCTGCAGGAGGGTGGGGCTGTGGCCACCTTTGACAGCCAAGAGCAAACCAGAAGTGCATTGCTGGGACCTCAGGAGAGGGAAGGGGAAAATCGAGTCCCATGCTCAAGGAGCTGTGCAGGTCGGGGCCTCTGCAGCCTTGGTTTCGAGCACCAGCCTGGTCCATACAGACAAGCAGTGTGCCCTCGCCCGGGCTACTCAGCCTTCACACACAACAGGCCCAGTGCTGAGGGCCCGGAAACGAACAGGGGCCCGTGAAAAGGCTTTCATTTAAAGTCAGAAGAAAAACATTAATATGATCCAGCCCAGACTATTAGTTTTTATACCAGTGCAGTCACAAAACAGGATTTACAATATTTTCATGAAGGAAGGGGTTCACAAAGATCTAAGTGACTACAGCCCTGAAAGTCCTACGATACCTGCCCCTTGCTGAGTTCCTCCCACCCTCATCTTTCTAAGTAACAGGGTGAGGAGGGAGGATTTTTCTTGGAAACCCTGGCCCGGGTCTTCTCTGTGCTCTCCTGAGGGTCTCAGGCCCCCCTGGCTGCCAGGACTCCCCACCTAATCGAGAGCGGTGACAACACAGAGCGAGCAATACCTCCAGCCGCTCTCACTACCCCATTGGCTTGCTCAACCTAGAATATTCTGCAGCCCTGAGGCCCCTTTCCAGTCCTCAGGCCTCCTAGCACCTGTCCCTGAGGCTATGGTGCTGGGTTAGCCCACCCCAGGCTGAGGCCACTCTCTGCTTGACCCTCAACCTCTTGGGTTCTGGAGAACAGGGCTGTTCCTGGCAGTATTTCCAGCCACCCCAGCATTTTACAGCCAGACATACTCACTGGCCTGTGGCCCCGCCCCAGACCCCACCCTTGGCATTTTCCAAGACTCTCCTGCCTGACCTGAGGCCCTTGCACTGCTCTCCTTCCCTTCCCCCTTCAGGGTGACTTGTTTCCTCTGGTTTCCAGCACCTCTGGGGCCCTCCTCATACACCTGCTGTCAGGCCAGAAGTCCCTTAGCACTTTGCAGGCTTGCTCCCTGGGCCTTCAGCCTGCAGGCCCTTTTTCTCCCAGGTGGGGAGGGAATGATCGTTGACCTACAGAGGGGTTGGGGAGAGAGGACAAGGCCTGGGGATGGTGGCTGGGCCTGGGAGGGGGCAATGCGAGTGTTGGGGATGGCGCTTCAGCAAGGATCCCAAAAGGCCTGGGTGCCCTTGCCCCCATGACCCGCGTCCCTCCGTGGCTGGGAGTCCAGGTTCCAGCTGCCCTTGGTCCAGGAGTACAGTGGCTTTAGAGGCACCCAGAGCTCCCCAGGGTAAAACAGCTGGCATTAGGAGCAGGAGTAGAAGAGGGGGTGGTTGGTTCTCTCCTAGTTCCACACGTGTCTCCAACCCATACATTCTCCCCAGTTAGGACTGTGGAGGAACGAGCAGCCAGACACCTCACCCAGGCTTTTGGAGGAAATCATGCTCACTCCCCATGGGCTGCTTGTCTCCTAGGGCTTGTGGCCAAAAGGGCCCAGGGCCTGGAAACCCGGAGACTAATCCCAGATCTGACCCTTGTTGGCTGTGCGGCTTTAGGCAGGTCACTGCACCTCTCCAGGCCTGCATTTACTCATCTGTAAAATTGGGGGTAATGTCGCCCCCCTTCGCAGAGCCTGGCACACCCCATGCAGCATGTGCACCTTAGTCTGTGGTTCTCAGGAGGACAATTGCTGGTGCCACTCAGCCATCCCTTCTCCAGCAGTTCATCCCAGCCCCTCACCCCCAGCTGCAGGCTCCGGCCCTGGGGAGGGCTGTGCGTTCAACCTGGAGCCTTCGTCTTTTTGCTGACCAGCACCTTCCTCCTTTCCCTCTTCCTCCTGACCTCCTCCTCCAGGGCCCAGCTTGTGACCCCGTGCAGCAAGCAGCCTTGGGACAACAGCCTCCTCTCACCCCTGCCCGCTTGCATGGCGTTTGCCTGCTCGTTCTTTTTTGAGCGTCAGTTTCTTCCTTCCCACCTGCTGTCGTGTTCAGTACTCTTTCAGGGATTGTGCTGCGCGTCGCACTGGCAGCGTGCAAGCTGATGTTGGTTGTAGACCGTAATCATCTCCTATTGCTGCTGTAGCAAATTACCACAAACTAAGTGGTTTAAACCAACACAAGTTTATTCTCTTATAATTCTGGAGTGCAGACATCCAAAATAAGTCTCGTGGGGCTAAAACCAAGGCCATTAACAGGGCTGGTTCTTCTTGAGGCTCCAGGGGTCTCTTCCAGTGGCTGCTGCACCCCTTGGCTTGTGACCACATCACTCCAGTCTCTGCCTCTGTGGTCACTTCGCCTTCTCCTTCTGTCTCTGTAGTCAAGTCTCCCTCTGCCTCCACTTTATGAAGACACTTGTGATTCCATGTAGTGCCCACCCAGGTAATCAGGGTAATTTTGTCATCACATATCCTTAACGTAATCACATCTGCAAAGTCCCTTTTGATATACAAATTGTCACTCACAGGTTACGGGGAATAGAGCTTGATATTTTTGAGAGCTATTACTCAACCTACCACAGTGGACTAATGACCTTTTGTCTTTATTTAGCGATGCTTTTATTTTTATGGTTCACCTTTCTGTATAATAAATGAGCTGCTTTTCTATTTAAGGTGGCGACCTAAAATTTTTCTGAGTAATTTTTTTTAGGTAAAAAGGGAAAGTTGTTTTAAAGAAACATATTAAGGCAAGACCAACCAGGGGAAGGGAGGGTCTGGGGCATCCTGGAGCTCCTCTCAGTCCAGAGCGTCCTAAGTGAGGGCTGGGCCTTCTCTCTCCACACCTAACCCGCTGTCCTCCGCCCCCTTGTCCGGCAGCTCACCATCATCTTCAAGAACTTCCAGGAGTGTGTGGACCAGAAGGTGTACCAGGCAGAGACGGATGAGCTCCCTGCTGCTTTTGCTGATGGATCCAAGAATGGTGGGGACAAGCACGGGGCCAACAGCCTGAAGATCACCGAAAAAGTGTCGGGCCAGCACGTGGAGATCCAGGCCAAGTACATCGGCACCACCATCGTCGTGCGCCAGGTGGGCCGCTACCTGACCTTCGCAGTCCGCATGCCCGAGGAGGTGGTCAATGCCGTGGAGGACCGGGACAGCCAGGGCCTCTACCTCTGCCTGCGGGGCTGCCCCCTCAACCAGCAGATCGACTTCCAGGCCTTCCGTGCCAACGCTGAGGGCCCCGGCACCCGCAGGCCACCGGCGGCCGGCCCCGCACCTGCAGCTCCCGAGAGCTTCCCGTACGAGACGGCCGTGGCCAAGTGTAAGGAGAAGCTGCCCGTGGAGGACCTGTACTACCAAGCCTGCATCTTTGACCTCCTCACCACGGGCGACGTGAACTTCACGCTGGCCGCCTACTATGCCTTGGAGGACGTCAAGATGCTGCACTCCAACAAGGACAAACTGCACCTGTACGAGAGGACTCGGGAGCTGCCGGGCAGGGCGGCTGCTGCAGGGCTGCCCCCAGCCCCCCAGCCCCTGCTCAGCACCCTCATCCTGCTCCTCGCCCTGCTCCCTGTGTTCTGGTAGACAGCTGCCATGTGGGACGCAGAGGGGGAGCGAGCTCTGTCCCCGAGCCTGCAGCGTCTCTGTCTGAGGCCTGGGAATGCAGATCGGCTGGCGCGTCCCCTGTGGCCCAGCCACCTCTGCAGCACTCAAGAGCAGGGGCAGCCCCGACGTGTCTCCAACCCATACATTCTCCCCAGTTAGGACTGTGGAGGAACGAGCAGCCAGACACCTCACCCAGGCTTTTGGAGGAAATCATGCTCACTCCCCATGGGCTGCTTGTCACCTAGGGCTTGTGGCCAAAAGGGCCCAGGGCCTGGAAACCCGGAGACTAATCCCAGATCTGACCCTTGTTGGCTGTGCGGCTTTAGGCAGGTCACTGCACCTCTCCAGGCCTGCATTTACTCATCTGTAAAATTGGGGGTAATGTCGCCCCCCTTCGCAGAGCCTGGCACACCCCATGCAGCATGTGCACCTTAGTCTGTGGTTCTCAGGAGGACAATTGCTGGTGCCACTCAGCCATCCCTTCTCCAGCAGTTCATCCCAGCCCCTCACCCCCAGCTGCAGGCTCCGGCCCTGGGGAGGGCTGTGCGTTCAACCTGGAGCCTTCGTCTTTTTGCTGACCAGCACCTTCCTCCTTTCCCTCTTCCTCCTGACCTCCTCCTCCAGGGCCCAGCTTGTGACCCCGTGCAGCAAGCAGCCTTGGGACAACAGCCTCCTCTCACCCCTGCCCGCTTGCATGGCGTTTGCCTGCTCGTTCTTTTTTGAGCGTCAGTTTCTTCCTTCCCACCTGCTGTCGTGTTCAGTACTCTTTCAGGGATTGTGCTGCGCGTCGCACTGGCAGCGTGCAAGCTGATGTTGGTTGTAGACCGTAATCATCTCCTATTGCTGCTGTAGCAAATTACCACAAACTAAGTGGTTTAAACCAACACAAGTTTATTCTCTTATAATTCTGGAGTGCAGACATCCAAAATAAGTCTCGTGGGGCTCCCCTTCCAATGCACTGAAACAGGCCTGGCTGCTACATGCTAATTCGTGGGGCCGCCTGTGCTCACCGCACACACACACACTCTTACACGAGCACACTCGCACGCACTCAGCCAGCGGGACTCCCGGCCAGGCCGATGAATGAATGGGGCTGAGACACCCTTGGAGCTTGAGTCCCAGGCAGGGTCTCCTTCACGGCAGGACACTCTCAGGGCTCTGCGTGGCATCTACAGCAAGCTGATGGAACCCTTTGGTCAATAGGTTGTACCCTCCTGGTGCCTTCCCCTGTGCAGCAAGCGCATTTGGAGGGACGTACACACATGCGTTCACAAGTGTCGTGAATGCATATGGCAGATGCGGCAGTTTAGTAACCCCAGCCCTTTCTCTAAAATTACTTTTCCTCACAGTGAGCTGTCTTGGGGGCTTGACAGGTCCAAGTTTCCTAGCTTGGTGACACGGGGACAGTCCCTGTGCAGCAAGCGCATTTGGAGGCGCATACACACATGCGTTCACAAGTGTCGTGAATGCATATGGCAGATGCGGCAGTTTAGTAACCCCAGCCCTTTCTCTAAAATTACTTTTCCTCCTTACAGTGAGCTGTCTTGGGGGCTTGACAGGTCCAAGTTTCCTAGCTTGGTGACACGGGGACAGTCATGGAAACATGACCACGTGGTAGAGGGGCATGACATGTCCTCTGGGACAAGGTTGGGCAGGCTGGCCTGAGAGTCAGGGTGACTTCATCTCAGCCACCGTTGACAGTCTGGGAGCCCCACATGTGGGATTGTCGCTGCTGCTCTCCCGGCTGGTCCCCCTCACAGACTGCTGAGTGCAGGCACTGCAGAGGGGCCACTGTCCACCTCAGGGTCACTGCTGGCTGTCATCACATTTCATCCCTAAAAACCACCCAGTGAGTCAGGAACCAATTCAAGCCCATTTTACAGATGATGAAACGGAGACTTCGATCAACTGATTTGCCTAGGGTTCTTTAGCAAGGGTACATGTATGTCTGTTTTGCCCTGAAGTCCCTGCCCTTGGCACTAAATTCTATGAGGCAGAATAGCAGCACAGGTAAGCCAGGCCATATCCTGGCTTCTCCACTTTCCCAGCTGTGTCGCCTTGGGCAAGTCACTGAACTGCTCTGGGCCTCTCTTCCTTTCTATGGGAAATGGGGAGAACCTACTGAATGATAGGGTTGTTTGGAGATTCGGTGCATTCATTCCTGTGAATTAGGAGAGGGCCTGGCACACAGTGATTGTCCATTGTTGGTGTCAGTGTTGTCATCCCAAAGCAAGAGAGATTGGGTGGGCAGACGGGAGAGAGCCACCTAGACCCTGGAAGCTTGGGAGGAGGTGAACTAAAAGGCTAGCATGGGAAGGAATCCGAAGAGTGAGCATTTACAACAATCCAAGGCAGAACAGAAAAGCCAAAAATAGGAGGGGAGAATTTTCTAGAGCCCTGCTTGGAGTCAGGCTTGGGAAGAAGGAGCCAGACTGGAATGCACACATCTTACCTAATTGCTGAACGGTCAGTAAGGATGGGCCTCTTGCCCTTGGTGGTAAGAGGGATGAAACAGCTCAGGGGCAGGCACCACTGAGGTAGGGACAGATTACTGAGAAGCCAGGACACACAGAAGGGAAAAAAGCTTGTTCATCAGATGAAAATGTTACATGGCCCTTGCCAGAAAATATTCTTGGTTTGGAATTTTTTCAGGACCCTAAATTTAACCAGCTGGAATCCTTATCCAAGCACTGTGCTACTAGTCGCCCTCATGAACATGGAAATTTGCATTTCATCATGAATATGGAACACAGCATCTTGCACTAAATGATCCTGAGAAGCAGCTTTGTCTTGCATCGCAGGCTCGGTTTGGAGCAGAGACTCCTCGCTGCCCGCCAGCTGAGGCCGGTGGGGGGAGGTGAGTGCATCAGCACGTGGAGGCTGGAGGCACCTCTGCCCACCCGTCCCAGCTCACCCGTCTGTGGCAAGAACTCAAGTTTCTGGTTTGGCAAAGCAGAATTTGTAAGGACAGCAAAGGCTGTCAATTGAATGCGAGTCCTTTATGATGGATGAAGGGGGCACATTGTGGGATGAAATGGTTACCAAAATGCTTGGCTGAGACCTGTTAGGGCCAGGCACGAGTGGAGGTCGTCAGAGGGTGCCAGAGAGCAGCGTGGAACAGAGGGTGACATTTGGGCTCAGGCTGCAGGCAGACTTGGCATCCAAACTGGCTCTTCCTGTCGCTAGCTGTGTGGTCTCCCTTGGATTTTTTGAGCCTTAGATTCCTGATGTGTAAAATGGAATTATGAATACCTACCTCCCAAGGTCATTATGGAAATCCAGTGAGCTAAGGCTCATAAATTGCCTCGCACACAGCCCTGGCACGGCATAAAGAGGCCGCCAAAAATGGCGGTCACCTCCCTTTGCAATTGTGTGTATCATTTACTCATTTGATAGCTACACTGTATGTACCTGGCACTGTGCTGGGGGACTACAACAGTGACCCAGACAGATTGCCTTTCACTCCTGTTGGGGAGGCAAGTGGATAAACAAGTAACCTACAGCTGCTGTACAGAGCAGTGACTGGGGACCGTCAGGGGCTACTGCACAAGGCCAGTCTGAAGCAGGACAGTGGCAGAGATGGTACAAAATGATGGGCTTTGGGATTTAATATGAAAGGAGAGGTTGAGGGGAGACCACAGTGTCGTCTCCAGCAGTGAGATCTGAGCACCTGGGCAAACAGCGGTGCCATTTGCTGACTGAGAAGATCACAGGAGGATCAGGTTTGGGATGCTCAAATCAAAATTTTACTTAGGGGCATGGTAGCACAAGCAGCTACATTGTTTTGAATTTTTTAATTTAAATAATGTAAATGTCCCAGAGCAAATTTTAGAGGAGGGCAGTGCGCATAGAATAAACTTCCAAAATAAAGGGAAGAGTGTTATTTATAGCCAAACAAGCCATTTGCAAAGCCATGGTGGGTAGGAAGACTGGCAGGGCCACAGCTTGGGGCAGTCCCGGGCCGTTCACTTGGAAAACGACAGCTGGGCTCACGAAGGTCGGGCTTAACAGCTGATGTCAAATTATGTGTGGTCTAAAGTTTGATCCTGACGGAGAACATGATGCTAACCTTTAAAAAAGAAAGTTGTAAGAACAGCAGGGACACTGGGGGAGAATTATCAAGTCCCCACAGAGAGCAGATGATGTGGTGGAGCTTCCGGAACATTCCGATTCAGTTCATGGCCTTGCCACTGGCTTGGGGAGTGACCTGGAAACTTAGTTTCCTTCCCTGCAAAACGCAGATGGTGGTTCTACCACAGCGGTGCTTGGAAAGACTGATGCGGGAGGGGATAAGAAAGAATACAGGAAGGAAGACCAGGCGACCCACAGACGCCCACCACATGTGGCTCCTCCTCCACTCCCACCCCGCCTCATCCCTCCATGTCCCGCCAAATGCTCAGAGCCAGCCTCCATGGGGCAGCTCAGACATGCCAGGCTGTTCCCTGCCCCCATTCAAAGCCTAGGCAGGCTCTCTCAGAGGGGCTTGGTGAACAGAGTGAACCTGGGTGGTCCTCAAGTCAAGGCTGAGGACTGGACCACCAGGGACCAGGTCTGCCAAGTCAGGGTGCCTCTCCCCAGGGTAGAGCAGGACAACCCCAGCCACCGCCTCCTGGAGTGGACACATCCTTCTCTTTGTTTGCTAATGACTGGGGACTAATCCCTTACGGCAAGTGCCCAAGGGTGTTGATAGCATTAATCTAACGCAAGGAGTCTTTCCTCCCTCCTTTCCTTCCATGCACAAACATGCACGGGTCATCCCAATGTGGCTGGTGAGGTCTAGATTTGGGGACACATTTGTTTACAGCAAATATTTAATGAGGCCCTATGATGATCAGGCACTGGGCTGGATGTTGGGGACGCAGCCATAGTCACGGGAGATGGACGTGCCCATCCTCATAGGACTCACCTCTAGTGAGTAGAGGTAGAGATGGTACCATAAGTGGGTTACCTTTGTGGTGCCCACACTGGCCTCTCCTTCAGCAGGGTTGGGGGGGATGCGAAGTGGCAGAGGGGAGGGACACCCTGGTCCTTGTGCATGCGCACTGGTTCTCTGAACTTGACCTTGAGCCATGTGCTTCATCAGCCTCATTGTCCTCAGCTACACGCGGATAGCGGGGA